TTTAATACTTTTGACTCTCAAAATAGTGTAGATAATGTTTTTCTGGTCTTGTGTTAACATGGATGAAATGGGTTACAGTCCAAGAGCAGATTCTAAGGATGGACACTGTTTTGTTCCAATGAATTATGAAATGAAATTTGTGTATTGTCGACAAGAGAGGGATGAACGACATTGCACTTTAATTGCCGCAGTTGCTGCTGATGGTTCAACTCTGAAACCAACTGTTATTTTGCCCGTTTGTTCCATTCCAAATGAATATAGGTGTAATGGACTAACGGAAAATAATGTTTTATTCCGATACAGTGTGTCTGGATTCATTACGCGTGAAATTTGTGAAGACTGGATTAGAACTGTTCTGCTTGATTATATTAATAGAAAACGCGTTGAAATTAAAAATGAAATGAATGCGCTTGGAATTGAAATAAAAATGTCCGATCTTAGAGCTTTTCTAGTGTGGGATAATGCAAAAAGCCACAGTTCCTCGATTATTGAATTGTTACTCGCTGAAAATAACATAACTCTTGTTAGATTAACTCCACATGCTTCTCATTTCCTTCAAGTTCTTGATTTGGGGATATTTGGTAGGCTTAAAAGAAGAATGTCTTCTTTAAAAGCGAACGACAGTTTTGTAAATTTGCTTTTTCAAGAAGAAGTCGAAAAGGAAGATGTGGATGGTAATTTATTTTGGAAAGATAAAAAACCAGATTTTTACAATATTGAACTCGGAAACAGACTAAGAGAGTTGATGATATTGGTGGATTCTTTCTTTGCGGTTACAACACCTCCTTTTAATATTATTGCTTTTAAACAAGCTGGAATAGTCAACTGGATTGACAAAACGCTTCCAAAGTGTCGTGTATCCATCGAACATTGTAAATTTATAAAAACGCCCCAATACAGAGAATTGTTCAAACAGTTTATTCCAAAACCAATTCCGTTGCTTCAAAAGAAAAGAAAGACAGTATTACTCCCTTTCCAAATTGAAGTTAAAAGAAAAGAAAGGGAAGTAAAAAAGCATTAAAAACCCAAAATAAGATAAGGAAAAAAGAAACCACAATTTTAAGATTGCTGTTGTCTTCTAAACCATTCAAAAAACTTGACAAAAAATGATTAATTTTTTTCTTATTTTTTTGACTTTTTCATGTTATTTATGTTATTCTTAATGTTTTTTATAATTATAGTATAAAATAATAAATTATAGTTTCTTTACACCATTTGTCGTGTTTTCATTGCTTTTAGCGGGTGACTATATATAGTTTATTTTATTCAAGGGTATATCACTCATTCTATTATACTATTAGTTTGTAGTTGTTTTTAATAATTAATATAGTTTTGTTATATCAAAATATATTGTTTATCAAATGTTATTTATTTGAGATGAAAATTATGTACTATTTTTATTATATATTTTATTATTATTAATATTACAACATAATATTTTTGTTATATTGTTATAGTTTATATGTTTGTATATTTATTATAGTTGTATAATAAATTATTTGATTAATTATATAATTTATATACTATTAAATTTTATTAATTTATTATTATTATTATATTATATTATTAACCATTATAAAAAACAATTAAAAAATAAAAATTATTATAATTATATTATTAAAAAAACTATTAAAAACAACTATATTATTATAATGTTTTTATTATATATAATTTGTATATTTTAATGGTAAATATACTATTTAATATACCATTAAAAAAGTAAGTATGAGGGGAGTTTTTAAACAACTTTTATAAAAATTGCCAAAAATATTTTCAGTGCAAAAAGGCAAAAAATACCGAGCCATGAGTTATAAATAACCAAATAAGTTGAAAAAAAAATTTTTGAAAAGTTTTAAATATTTTTTAACAATTTTAACAATTTTTAACAATCAAAACAACATCGGGGTTTTAAAAATAGAATTGTTTAACGCTCAATTATATTATATCGATACATGGTCAAACAGCATTGTGTTGATTTTCAAGGCAATATTGGAGTTTTTGTTTCACATGATTATTTACTTATCAATGCTGTCTGTTTTTGCGTATCCAAACACATATAAAGAAAATATGTTTGTGACCTATGCACACATTATACTTCTGATTTTTTGCAACTTACGTTCTAAAATCTCGAATTCGTAAATATTTAAATCCGCTTTTATTGTGACACTTTTGTTGTTTATTGTTTCATTATTATTGTTCTGATATCACACTAACGCCAACGTTGTTAAGCAAGTACCTTTAAATCAGATTTGTGCACAGACACTTTTTTGTTTGTAAATAAAGTTTTCAATATAATTAAACTATATGTACAGATGGGCAACTAATTTGTCTAATAAACCTATTAGCATCTCAATTTCCCAGTTTTAAGTCACATATTCCCCAATTTTCTATTCAGTTCCATCTCCAAATTCATTATTTGTCTACTTTCTAATTATAAACCAAACAAAACAAACTAAAAAACTATTTCTCTAAAACTTGAAAATAAAATTATTAAAAATTATTTACCAACCCTAGCATGTTGTTGGTGTACACAGTATCAACTGTTTGCTTTGTTTATGTTTTTAATAGCATTATACACAAGTGTTTATAAACCAACACAACCAAGGATGGTCTTTTACATTATTAATTTTAAATGCCGTCCTTATTTTCTATTTAAAATAATATGCAAAAGAAAATTAAGTAAACATTTGGTCTGATATCAAATTCAAACAATGACCAACAGTCATTATTTGTTATTAGTCACCTCGAGTCAGTGGATACCAAGTGAGACAGCATTGAAAAGAAGACTCCGGAAGACGCACTCAAACAATCTGTTTGTGCACCGTTCCACACTTTCCAGTCCTCCCTCGGCGCGGATCCCCCTGATCTTCTGCAAGCGGGGTGGAACCACATCCACGTCCACATAATACTGACAATGAATGAGTTGACATGGGGAAGCATAAATGGTCACATAGAGGTCGATTTTATTCAAAAGTATTGAGGTAAATGCTTTACTCTGAAAATTGGAGTGAGGGTCAGAAAAAACGGTCACAGTAAACATTTTTATGTGCAATTATTAACTTAATTTATATCATACTTTTGTTCAAACAATTCTTCTAATTTTTGTTTATTGATTCGTCGTAAAGAAGTGTCAATTGTATTATCAATCAAATTAATGCTTGTTTTTTAATTAATTTTTGAGTGTGGTTTGTTACTTTTTTATCCACAACACCATAATGTTCCGTTTTATTCGATAAAAAACGTGTCACGAAAAAACATTGTCATTTTTTGGATTTATTTTTTAAGTTTATGTTTTACAAAAATATCATTAAATAAGTCTGATCTGAATAAAACTAATAGGTATTTTGAGTATAATAAAATATAAATTATACATTTGAAGGTGTAGACAAATTAGTTACCGCAAGACAAATTATTCTCCAATATGTAGTATCATTATAATAATATGTATCATATTAAAATTAAGTGGCATGTAAAAAAATATAAAACATATA